TTCATTTGCTAGACTCAATTTGATATACATGGCAAAATCTCAGAAATGACAAGGGCGAAAACATTTTTCATACACGCAAACCAACTATCCAACCTCAGCCTACTAGGAAATGTGGTTGCAAAAATGTTGTGAGCTCCAATAACTTAGTAATCCCATAAAACAGAGCAGCAATTCTGCTGCCAGATTTTACTAATTCTAGAACCAAGAAAAAATATTTGAACCAATTTGTTAAAAGTGGATCCAGTTCTTCCAGCTTAAGTGGGTAAGATAATAGTAATAGTATAATTTATCAGTATAATTTATCAGGTGCATTTCATGTGGATGCAAGCTTCTGACTTCAACACCTGTGTTTGGTCTATCTGTGGAATGCATCCCATAGTTATAAGAGATCTTACTGCAGATTATAGGAAGTGCCTGATTTATTCTTCCAGGGGAGCACATGAACTTCTGTGCTTCTAATGATGGGGAAAAAAAAAAATTGAAAGATCAAATCAAATCAAAAAAATGAAGAAAGAAAGACATGCCTCTGAGGAGAGAAGGTCCAAATAATCTTGCATTTGAATGAAACTTCCCAGTAAAAATATTTTAGTCCACTGCTATTAGAAGTTATTAGAACTGAGATAATGAATCCAGTAAAACACTGCTGCCTACGGCACCAAGAAGTCCATGGAGCACCATGAAAGCTGCTGGAAACCGGCTGCTGTAGGCAAGGTCTGTACCACCACTGGAGCTTGGCTACAACAGAGGCATGCATTGGTTTTCCTGCGCTGGACAAGCATACCCAAGACTGGGGTGCCAGTTGCAACCACTGCAGGAAAGGAAAGCCAGTATCCATGCTGTTTGAAAATGTCTATTTCCACACAAGAAACCTGCAAAATACATTTATATTCAGGAGCTGCAGATATCCTATGTTATCAACTGACTTCTTTTGCACCTTTAAGCTGCCCTTTTCTATTCCAAGTTTTTTTTCCTCCCCTCAGTTCTTTCCCACCTCCTGCTCCCTCTCCCCCAGTTAATATGTTGCATCTTATTTCATGCTGTGACACTATTAGTGGAACCTAATCTCCTTGCTGAAGTAGACTATTAGTGTTGGTTGGGGCCACTTATGAGGTCATACACTCACACAGCACTTATCTGAAGTAAATGCCTTGTAACTAATCAGGAGAAGGTAATGTGCCGTCACCTTGCCCACAGATCCCCAGCACCCAAATTCCACTCATTTACAGTGAGACAAACCCTGAGCAGCCCAAGCTTTGGTGTTTTTTTTTTGTTGTTTTGTTTTTACATGACAGAAGCCGTAGCCCTTAAGTGACTAGGATGGAATGAGAAGGGAATAAACAATTAGACAGGGCTGCTGGAACAAATCCTCCTGTTTCATTTTTCTTCTTCACTTGTCTCAGCGGGAGTAGTTTTACCTCCTATTGACACCCATTGTGCTCTTGGCTGCTTGCTATGATGCAGCTGTTTTTTTAATGCCTATCAACCCTCTGCCTTTTTACGACACAAAGGTGACTTGTTAATACAAATGTTGTTGAAACCTTAATAACAATGAGCCCCAGTTTTGATCAATGATATTGCACCTTGGCAGGGAATGTATCAATGCTTATGGATTCATTTAAAAGTCATCTGCGCTGGGTTGCTGTTTTCTTATTTTATAAATCTACACATAAGAAATATGCCCGCAGTGTTAGACTGACATTTCTAACTCTACTGGGTGCAGTAATACAGTATTATAGTTCTACTGTTTCCTGTGATACCTAGTTACTCTCTTATCTACCATCTGCTCCAGAGACTACATTTAAACAGAAACTCACTCCACCAATGAAAACCTCAAACCCCAATTACATTCAGTCCTCTTAAAAAGGTACATTGATTCACCTGTTCTTCTCCAAAGGTGCTCCCAAGGCAGTACAAAAAACCACATGATTCTCAGTGTCCTTTGTTCTGTTATCAAACCCTCAGACCAAACAAAATGTTGTCACCACCCAAGCCCCAGCTGAACTGTCACTGCATTTACTAAGCAGTGTGATAATGCCATTTCAGAAAGGACATTATCCATCAAAGTTGCGTATGGGAATGGTCACACCTCAAAAGGCCATTGTGCTCTAGAGAAAATTACAGTCATCAAAAGTGAGACTGTTTTTTCTTTACGTTATGGCATCATTACATGGATGTTGGTCTACTCACAGCAACAGAGGTATGCTAGTGCAATGTGATATTAGGTGACAAGCAGATCAGGAATAAAGAAATTTAGTCAAGAGACCCATGTACGTAAATGACAGTAGTGTGCATAATCCCTAGAAGACTGCCATTTTCAGATGGGAAATCAGCCTGAGCAAACTTTGTTCCTCAAATATTATTAGTTCTTGATTACGATATTCTACGGCATTTCCTACTTCATCCATTAAGCCAGAGACACTGGCATTGGACAATACAGGGATTGGTTTGCCCAAGAGAATAAAATCGTTTGGTGTTCAAAACATAAAAGCTGAATCATTCAGAAAGTGAGCTACACAGCTATTGTAATTCGAAGTAGTGAACTATGTAACACAGCTGCTTTATGCTTTGAAAACTATTTCCAGTGTTCCAGTGTCATATATTCTTCACTACAGATCATTACCCTTGCATTAAACTAATCAACATTACAAATTTAAGTTAATCTAGCAAACAGACTGTTTCTTATTATAAAATTATTAGGTTGTATTACACTGTTTTAAAAATCCGCATAGGGATTAGCTGGAATTGACAAGTGACAACCACAAAAGCAGGAATAGCTTCTAATACCTGATTTAGAAGTAGAAGTTTTTAGATTTTGTACCTCTGTATTGTTAACAATAGGGTCTTTTTTGGACCTTTGGTTTATGCCAGGACTGTGAGTCACTGAATATTTTATGGTGTTCAATGAACTACAGTATGAGTCATTCATCAGTTTTCAAGTATTTTTGGAATTGTGTTATTTTGCTTAAAATTGCAGAAAATCAAATAGCAGAAGTGATAAAAAATGCAGCATTGTAGACTTAATAAGATCATGTGATGGAATCAGAGCATATATACATCAGCAGAAAAATTAATTTAAGCAAAAATTAGGTCTCAAAAGGAAACAAGGGATTCAACAATGAATTGTTAGAGCGTTATTGTATTCTGAGCAGGATCCATTTTACTGGAGCTAGTTATAGTTGCCAAAAAGTTCTTGCCTCAGATGCAGTCCGTGCTTACAATACTTATTTCCATACTCTGCTGCAGCCTACCATTTCTACAACATCCTGCAGACATTCATGATTTTTATGACTACTAACTGATTAAGAGCTCGATCATAGGAACATCAGATACCATACAAAATGCACGATTCAAAGCTAATTAAAGTTGGTGAAGTCAGCAAAGAAAAAAAATCAGCTTGGAAAGAGTCAGTCCTACTATAGATTAGGATAGAGAGAACTACTGCCTAGTGCTAAAGAGTGCTTATTCCTAGATTCATCTAGATTTATTTTTTTTGTCCTTTTTGGTTTGTTTTAAAGAAAGTTTAAAGCTACTATATATCATAAACAAGAGCTTCAGCATAAGGATCTGAATCATCAACATCACTGGAAGACAGGGAAAATAAATGCTTTATACAAGTCACATGAAGAGCAGTGGCAGAGCTCAGAGCTCACAACCTTGTGTTTATGATGACCATCCAACACTGCTTTTCACAAAGGTTCAAGCTAAATGACATTTAGTCATGGTTCTCTTAAGCAGACATCAGTTTTGGCTTTTAAGAAAGGCTGAACTAAAGCCATTTGGATTGGAGAAATAATGGAAAGGATTGTGTCAAAATCTGGAAGTTTTTCCTCTATTGAGAGCCAATGTTCTTGTGTCACAAGACTTTGCCTGAAAGAGAAAGTTTTCTCAGATGCATGACTGTGTTGACACTCTTATTCTTGATCGAGAGTGGCTTTTCATTTTTATTTTTTTTAAACCCCTTACTAAGCAGTATAAACTATGTCAAATAAGAAAGAGCTCATGGGGCTTTTTTGGATAGAACTAACAAATCTACACTTTAGTGAATTCTGAACAAACCTCCCCTGAATACACAAGATCTTACAGAGTAAGAAGTTCACCAATTCTCAAATTAAAGCTTGGTCATTTGGATATCACCTGCAATGGGAGCAAAAGATAACAATCAAGCTAATTGCAATGTCCTTCACTGTTATCAAACAGTGATGGGGAGAGGGAACTGCTTTTTCTAACTTCAAACTATGGCAGAGACAGTAACTTACATCCAGCTTTTCCAAAAGGATTTCAATACCTTTTTCTATTGCATATCACCAAATCAGCTACTAATGAAGGGTGTCATGCAAGTGATGAACATCTCTCTGTCCATACAATTATTAAGAGAGCTGCATACAGACTAAAGCCTTCAGAAACTCAGAGCTCAAGAGACTTGCCACAGCTTTTAGTCCAAAACTGTCCTAAGACAATAGGTATTATTAACACCAGAAAGATTATTTATTTATTTATTTAAAATAAAATACTTGGTCAGAATACTATGACTTGTCAAAGCCAAAGAAGAATAGGTCCTCAGTTCAAATGAGACAAGGTTAGGGTCAAATATTCTAGTGGTAATGGAAGGTGTTCAAAGCAGAGAACCATTCAATGTAGAATGTCTCTGTGTCTTCATTGACCTGATAAGACTGTATACAACAAGGTGTAAATCAAGTGTATTTGTAAGTAAATGGTAACATGACAATAATTATACTAATTTTTATGAAAAATTCTCTAAGAACTCTAATTGTCTTGACACAGAAACATTGTCTTTGGAAAAAAATCTCACACAGCTTCAGTATTATTGCATTTAACTGAAGATACTGAGGGAAAGGGTTTGTCTGTCACTAGAAAATCTGCAATAGTTAAGATTGTTGCTTGGACTTCAAACTCCTTCCTGTCATGCATGAATGACAGGTGACAGTTGCAGTAGTTCTGTTCTCCTTTTTTGGAAAATTTGAATTGTGCTCCCCCAGAGAAAGAGCTGGCTGCCCACCCACATTCACAGCTACAATAAGTAGGCCTTCTACAAGCTTCCTTACCACAGTTCTTGTTTGGAGGTAATTCTCCCATTTTAAGTTTTAGAAAAATGGCTGCTTAAAAATCAAGAGGCTAACAATAAAGGGTGGGGGGAGTACTGCTTCTAGTGCTACTAAATCGATAGACAGCATGCATTCAATAGGTTTTTATCAAATGGTAAAAAAAAAGAAAAAAGTTATCATGCAAAGACAAAGCATATATCTTTTGTTAACAGTTTTAGAAGAAAGGTTGCCTAGATTTTTGCTGACATTTTTTTCTCCGAGCGAATCTAACAAAACATTCTCTATTCTGTTACAGCATTTATCTCAGTTGGTCTAGTACATCCTGCAGTCATATCACTCACGCTTGTTTCAGGTATGGGTAACTTTTCCATTAATTATATTCCAAGCACATGTATACATATCAGAGCTGTTGGGATGTCTATTTCTATTAGTTTAACAAGCCCTGGTATTAATGAGATTGCTCTATAATTGAACCTTTTCATGGGTCCCTTGGTGATGAAATTATGCTAATCTGAATTTGCAACCACAAGGCATCCATCATACTTGATCAAATAGTAAACATCAACAGTGATATGCTAGGAGTGTAAATGTGCTGTTAATTATTACAGAAATGAACAAACCCCATTATTTCATCTTTATATTTGTGTGACTTAATAGGATTGGTGAAGACAGAGTGTATCAGACTTCCACTATGTGGCAGCATGGTCCACTTAACAGAGCTTGTAAATATTGTGATATCTCAAAGGCCTAATACACTCTGCGTGCATAAGAGAGAAAAGAACTTAGATATATTTCATCTGCTGTGAGTCACTGTTGTGGGAAACAGAGATACTGATCAGTTACATACCTCTAAAAGAGAAAAAGCATCTGATTTTGCAACTGCTATAATTGTTCACTTCTAAATGTGTGGTTTGTGGATCACCAAGGGTTTTAACTGAGGAACATATATCTCAGAATATCTGCTGTGGGATGATTTATATCAACTTCAAAAAAAAATAATGTTTGTAAGCTTAAGCACATAAGATCTTGTGTACTTACATTTGCAAAAACAGATGGAGTTGCAGAGTGCCTCTGTTCCTGCAGGCATCGCTTACCACCTATGGTCACAGCACACTGAAGAAAAGAAAAAATATCAGGCTATATCATGAATGACAAGAGCAAGAACAGAGCTGTCACAGTGCAGGCATCCAGATTACTATATTTTTTGGACATGGTTTTTATTAGATGCACTGTATTTTATAACTGAGCAACTACTGAATTTCAATGCAAGTTGCTTCTATTGTTTCTTTACTACATACAGAGGTGGACAGAAAATAAAAGATGCCAATACTTGTATTTTGTGTGGCAGCATTTTAGTTCTATAAATCACACCCCCAGTGTGTATTTAGTGCCCAGAGTATTTGTCTACAACCATTGTGCTGCAGAAAAAATATATTAATACAGAGATCCTAGGGTTATCTTGAGCAACAAATATACTTCAATAATGTTAAATACATTGGTGCCAGCTGTTAGGGGCCAGTATATAAAAAACAAACATGATCATTTTATCTTTTTGAATATACTTCACTATTTTGTATATAATTGAGTTTGTTGTGGTAACGATACTAATTCTAGCTTTTAACCACATTTGACTCATGTTTTGCCTTTGCTTTTTCAATATTTAATACAAGTATTTTAACCCAATTTGTGGAAAATGTCCTTTGTAAGCCATCAAACCATGCATTCAATTAACACAAAAATATAGGGATAAATATTCTGCCTTTTCACTATCCATACCATAGAAGAATCATATAATTCAACGAAGGAGTATTCAAAAATGTATTCAATAATTTCCAGACGTAGTTCAAAGTTAGTTCCCAGGACTGATGCAGCCATGGGGCAAAGCAGTATATGGGACTACATATTATTCACTCCAAGCTGATTCTACTGCCACTAAAATCAAGATAAAGTTCCTTCTGGCAGGGCCTATTCCAGTATTTACATTGTCCCTGCAAGAAAGTGGACTACAAAACCTTAGGTTGAGTTAACAAATAAACACACACACAAAAATCAACTATTAGGACAGCTTAGTAGATTTCCAGAAACATTCTCATGGGGTTTCTACTCTTAACACAGTTATTTTAAAATGTTCCCATTTTAAAACTTAAGTCTCAACTCTTTTATATAGATGATGACATTGAAACAAGATGAAAGAGAGTGCACTGCCCCTCTGAGCTCCCAGGCTTATCGTGTATTTATCGACATTCTGTTAATGGCATTTTGCAGCCCCAAGACAGTTTGCCCCAACTTACCTTTATTAAAACTGAATTATTTTGGTATGTATAACAACCATGGTCAGAGTTTCATAATATAGAAACAATACATCAAGAAGTGCAAAAACATATTTAGTCTTGCCATTTCTTCCCTTTTCAACATTTGTCAGAGGAAGCACACAGGGGACTCCTCTCCAGAAAGTGCTGTGTTCTGTTGCTGCCTACTTCAGCTAAACAATATTCAACGAATAGAGCTACCAGAATGTGGCTAAAGCAGACTCTTTTTCTGTACACAGCAGAGCATAGCAGGAATTTACCCAGGCATTTTTTTAAATTAAGAATTGCAAGAGAACATAATTAAAAATACCAAGTAACTTATGCTGGCTATGAAAAAAGTGAAAACTGTCTCTCTCAAGGGTGTTGTACTTCTTTTGTTTTAGCCTCACTGACACCGTACAAGTCAGATGCTGGACCTGATTCTCACCTTACTTAAACTGCCACCAGCGCTCATTTCAGCAGCCTGACTTATTCCAGTTTTAAGCAAGACTAGTGTCAGGGAATTTATTTTTAAGATATTGTTTCCATCCTTCCTTTTTCTTGTTTTAGACAGCATTGCCTAATGTGGTTTCTCTCAGAAGTGCTTTTGTAACTGTCTCCTGCTGAATCAGCAGCCCCTCATACTGGTGGTATCCATGCCAGCTAGATCAGGTTCGCTCTGCTCTGTGCAACCAGCCTTAAACCACACAGAGAAATCCTGTGATTCAGCTGTTAGGAGATCAAAATGTCAAGCGACCTTGAAAATTAGGGTGAGGAGGAGCAAGGTATTCACATCTAGCAAAAAACTAAACAACAAACAAACAAAATAAAACAAGAAACAAAAAATAAAACCAATTCAGGTTTATGTGACTTTACGAATTTGACCATGAAAAGGGTTTACATTTCCTTTGTAGGACCCACAGCTGAGGATCACTGGCATTTACAGTGGCAGACACTGTTCCTAGATGCCTCCCTGAGTCTGCAAAGCCTTACAGTGAAATCAGTAGGCCTTCACACAGAATATTCCTGCCTTCTAGCAAGCTAATGGCGAAATTACTCTAGTGAAAATGGCACTGAAGCAACTAAGAAAATCCATCCTGCAAGCGTGATGACTCTCCACACAAAAATCATGTGCTCGCAGCCCTTTCTCAACTCTTCTTGAGCACAAATACATAGCTTTAAATTTACAGCCTCAGTGAAACATTTCAATCAACTGCACAACATATGCCAAATGCTGTATGAGAACACTCTTGGCTGGTGTTGAACCATGCCATTTTTAAATATTCCTGTTCTGCTCTTGACGTTTTCAGTGCTAGACAACCCGTGTAATCAGTACTCATTGGATCCCATTTGAAAACCTAAATTTTGTATCACCTGACCTTGTCTAATTCCAGTTTCCAGTTACTGAATTTGATTGTTATTTGTTTCTAGATTGAAGATTCCCTTCTCAGTACAGACATCTAATTCTCTAGATCTGTCAGGTAAACTAGAGTAACAACATGTTATCTTAAGTACCATATGATACAAATGCATGGGGTAGCTTTACTCAAAGACAGAAGATTATTGAACTTTCCTATCTTTATTTATAATTATATTCAGTTTTATTATTTCCACTAAATGAGGTTCTTATGTTCTCATCACTTTAAAAAATAAGATTTTGAATTGTTCTAACAGTTCCCAGTTTGTAGTCATCAGAGATCTATCCTTTCTTTAGTCATATCTCTATATAATTTTTAGTAATTATTTTCACCTTCTCTCCAAACAACAGTAACAAACCAAACCTTTAATCCTATTGCTTCCTTGCCAATGATTTCTAAGTATTTATTAAGTATTTCTAAGTATTTAAGTATACAATCTTTATTATTAGAACAGTAATAAGTAATTATTAGGGTAATTAGTAATTATCATTGTGCTAATAATAGACACTATGCAAGTTTCTAAACTTGATAATATATTTATTTCCATTACACATTCTAGCCAGGTGCTTGATTACCTGCTTGGTTCTCCTGTTTATAGGAAGACAACTATCAATCTCTATCACAAGATTCTTCTGAAGTAACACTGATCCTTTTCTATGTGAGACCATATATATCCAAATCATGAATGACAGTAAAACAAACCCCATAAAGCAGAAATCGGCTGCAATCCTCCTCCTTTTCATCCATTCATACTTTCCTAAATAACTTATTATCTGCTGTTCTAATTTCCCAGTCATGCAAGTCTTCCCACTAGAGTTCAGTATCAACTTCGGTCAAATTTATTATTATCAACCAATTACAATCCTTAATTGTTTATTAGAAATTCACAATTGTTTCTTATCTATGTACTCAATATTGCATAATAACGTGTAACTGACTCTTAATCAGTTTCCCTGCTGACAAACGCATTAATTTGAATGTAATTTAAGAATGAGTATATTACATGATATTGCTTGTTTCAAGTGCATTTCTATCTCAATAATTTCTCTTGTGTCAAGGGTATCCTTTTATACATTTGAAATCATTACAGTCCTGATCCTTTCTTGGCTGGTAGTTTCAAAACCAAGCAAACTAACAAACCAGTAATCCCAAAGTACAACTAGTAAACCAAGCACTGGAGTTGAAGACCAACTAAGGTTAAGTAATTAGTATAGATTTTCCAAAATTCTTATCATTCAGAAACTCCCATTCTGAAACTTAAAGATCAAAATTATCATCTCTATTAGTATTCTAACTAATTTATCTCATAAAACTCAAGATCTGTTAGAATGTCAAAACACTTCTATGCAGATTGGAAGCTTTCAAATGAATTTATAGGAGTTATACACCACCCAAAATGATTAACGTAATTTACCAGATAATCACAGTTATGGAGGTGTTAGTTGGAAACACTGGAGGTCAGTCTGTCAAACATCCGACACAGGCAGGTTTGCCTGTCAACACTAGAACAGCCATGTCTTTCTTTAGCTACCCTGAAAACCTGCATGGATGGAGATTCCACAACACGTCTGGGTAACCCGTTCCAGTGACTTAACCATATTGAGAGCATCATTGTGCACAATAACATAACTATGGATTCAGAGCAACATATTTTAAGGATCAAAAGTGTCAGAGATTTTCAGGTGTCCTTAAAAACTGAATGTCCACCTTATTTAGGTATGGATGAGTAGATCTTACAGTTAAGACCGCTGCAAGAATTTGGTCCATGTCAACCTATAAAATTAATTTCTCTCACAGTCCATATGACACTTTCAGGTCCCTTCAGATGCAAGTAGCTTGTTTCACTCATTAGGAGGAAAAAGAAAAGGTGTTGCTCCCATGAAAAATCAGTTTGTATTTTGGTATGAGAAAACAGGTATCAGGGTACTGCACTACACTGCAGAGTAACTATAAGCTGAACTTTTAAAGAATTCAGAGTTCATTGGTTAACCATTCCAAAACTCCTGAAGAACACTTTTGCAGCCTTCCTAATATCTTGTGCCTGTCAATACCTGTCACCCATCTTTTCCTGGATAAATATGTCTCAATCAGTACAACTGAGATAAATGAAATGCCTGTGGATATACACATGCATTAAATAGGTTTGCATGCTCAGAATCGCTAAAGCATGAGAGAATTAGCCAACCAGAATAAAGCACAGAAATAGAAATCTTACATGAAGGGTCGATGTCATTGTTTCAGTGATACCCCAAGGGGAAAGGGTCTAAAATTCTGGCTGAAAAATTTAGAAGGCAGTCTCTCAGAGAACATATATATGCATACACATATATCATAATCCTCTCCCTCCACCTGCTGTCCACTCCTCCATTGATGCAGCCCAGGACTTAGTTGGCCTTCAAGTGCACGCTGCTGGTTCATGTCAAACATTTGTCCACCAGAACCCCCAAGTCCATCTCTGCACAGCTGCTCTCAATGAGTTCTCCCAGTACATGTTCAGGGATTGCCCCAGACAGGTGCAGCACCTTACACTTGGCCTTGTTAAATCTCATTAGGTTCACGTGGGCCCAGTTTTCTAGCATGTCCTGGTCCTTTTGGATGGCATCCCTTCCTTCTGGTGTACTGACTGCAGCACTCAGCTTAGCATCATCTGCAAACTTGCTGAGGGTGTACTTGATCCCACTATGTTATTGACAAAGATATTAAACGGTACCAGCCAGTACTCAGTACAATCAGTACTGTCTTCTCCATGTCTGTTGTTCTCAGTTCTCCCTTCTTTTTTATTAGCAGGGGTACACTCTCCTCAGCCTTTTTGTTCTGGCCAATGTACCTATATAGAAACCCTCCTTATTTTTTGCATCTCTTGCCAGCTTTGTTCAGTTTTGTATGCATGTTGTGGGTGACTAACCCCACAATATGGTGTTCTATAGTGGAAAGCTACAACTTCTCTCTACTGAGGAGGAGCAACCTGAAGATGACACATGGAACACAGCTCAGTAAAGCAATCAATGACAGTCAAAATCTTGGTGCTTACAAAATGTCAGTACAGCACCTGCTGACTCTGGAGGCTGCCAAATTCAGGTATTCCCCCAAAGGAAGATTTCCAAGTTCAAAACCTCAGTCCTAATTATATGTAGTGGGTGAAAATCCACGTCAGAAAGCTAAGATAAGCTGAAAAGAGCCCAAAGGCTTTGTGGAAGGAGGCTTTAGAATTGGAAGTGGCTGTGAGAAAGCAGCTTAGTGTTTGGGGAGTACCAGGTGGCTTTGGAGTTGGACGAGAATAAGAAGCGGGGACTGAGGAACACCAGGAGAAACTGAGGTTGCCACATGACACCTTCCTGCCCTAGCAGAGCACCCTAAATAGTTTTCAGAGTGGAAATATCCTCAAGATTAGTATAAATACATCTACCTCTTTCCCACACTAGACCATCTCCTTTAATGCCTTGCTTAGCATAATTCTGCTAGGCAGCAGCCTGCAGTTTTCAACACTCATGCATAGTTCTCGCTACGCTAATAACTGTATCCAGTAACATTTATACTCTTGGCAAAAAGTCAGCACTGAGCAACATGCTACAGGTACTCAAGCATTTACAGCCCTTTTTAAAGAACTTGCTCTCTAATCTGCAGACCATCCTGATCTGTGACACTTCTAACCTGTTCAGAATTGAACCATTTCTTATGTTTATTCCCTTCACCACTTCACTCACATTGTTTGCCTTTCTGGGTGCACCCAACATTTTAAAACTTTTCCTGCAATCATTTCTTGAGATGACTTCTACAGTAAAATGCTCCATGGTCGCATATTGAATAAGACCAGTGCCAGCTACTGCCCTGCAAAGAGGCGGACATGCAAATGTGGTAATATGCAGGGAAAATGGTTAATATTGGCAATGAATCAGATAACTCTTGGCTCTGTCCTTTGAAATAAACTAGTTTTAGTGAATGAATCATTGCATAGTTTTAAAAATTAGTTAACTTCTTTGCTTCCTTCACCTTTGTTTCCATCTTCCCTACTGGAAAGATTGCAGACTTCCTTATTTTCACACAAGGAGGACTACAGCTTTGCATTAAGATCAGATTCCAATATACAAAAATCAGGAAACTTGTAACAGGTAATTTTAAGATTATATCTCACTACCCAGTTACAGAACTATTATGCCTGTTAATGCAGCTACGGCTGGAAAAGGCAACACATTTTCTACTGAAATAGCTCTGTGAAAAAGCATTCACAGAAGTCACACCCCTGAAGTTCTGCTACACCAATTCCAATTGTTTTTACAAAATATTCACTACTTTATAACTTTCACCTGACCAGCCATATAGATAATACTATGTCAGACTAAATGAGCTAATCTTTGCTGGATAGATTTCATAGTTATACAGCGGATATAGATTATGTGTGAAAGGGGGTGATCTGACATCTAATTAGATTTCATTTTAAGTCTAGATGCAGCAATTATGACTTCTGAATAAAAGTGGTTGTTATTTAGCAGGGTAGCCTAAGCAATGCACATAATTATTATAATTATTATGTACCTAATGATATCTAATAGGAGTCAGCATTGTAAATAAATGCTGTAGACTGTTCAGCAGGGTGGCCTGCACTTCACAGAAAACTAAATAACAAAGGTTAATAAATATGTTTGCAGATGATTGTTTTACAGGAACCCTGGGCAGCACTATCTGTTGGAGATTAGCTACATTAGGACTCAACAGACCAGAAAACATCCAGAATAATAGTCTTGTACCAGCTTATAGAGGCAGTGTATTACAATAGCTAAACCAAATTCCTTCTTCTCTCAGTCCCCAATTTCCCAAGTATAAGCTATACTGCTAATTTTACTATAAGATCACATAGTGGACAAAATTCAACTTCTTTCTTTTGAATGCTACAAATCTGAGAATATAAAATCAACCAGACAAACAGTTCTTCTGTTTAAAGCTTCTATTTAATCCTGAGACTTCAAGAATATAAAATGGATACTGCCCTTTGAAGTGTGGATTACAATAGCTGCAGATGCTGCCTAACCCCTATTTGCACTGTATTAGCAGAAGAATTGTATTTA